CCTTTCCCGTGTCCCCCCGTCCCCTGCCGCAGCCGCCCTGCAAGCGCGGGGCGCTGCCGGGGCTGTCAGCGAGCAGGCAGGCCCCGGGCTCGGCAGTCCCTCCGTGCCATTCTCCCCGTCCTCTAGTTCTGTTAACAGGCGGTTGGCCGGAGGTTGATCGTCGCTTTGCATTTAACCCCCCCCGTGGAAATCATTGTGGCTATTGCATCACATCCCAGAGCTCCTCAGCAGCCCTTCGTGTGCTCTGCTGTGCTCAGAAAATCTCTGTTCTCGAGGGTCTCAAGCCTGGCACAGACAAAGACGTGGCAGCCGTGTCTCGGTAGCGCCAAGAGCACAGCAGGCAGGGAGCTGGGAATGAGGGGAGGAAGCTACGTTGGAAAAACTGTTGTTCGTTTCCTGTTAATGCTGTATTCCAAGCCAGAAGGCTCTGCTGGCAGGTGGACTGCTGCAGTTCGCCGCTTCTGGCTTTCTCCTGAAATGCCCATATTTAAACTCTTCACTAAATCTTGAGAGCTTTGCAGCGCAGGGTTTGCTGCTTGCAATTGTTAAAATGGAGTGTTTTCATAGTATTTCATCCTTAAAAGCCCCAGTTTTTTAATAAGTCATAGGCCTTTCAGAAGTATTGGGGGTCAGGGAGCATCTGACTGACTTGCTTTTTCTCAGGCTGTTCTACTGTAATCTTAATCTTTAGTGAAGCTTATTTGTGGACTAAGATCTGAGCCTTTAACTGGTCTTATTTTGTGTGTGAATTATGTACGCATTAAGTTTGTTACTCGTGATTATGTTAATTATTAAAATTATCCTATGTATTCTATTGTGTGCTTTGTTTACTTTTTTTTAGTGTTTGTGTGACTACATAGTATTTGTTTAGTCAGCTATATTTGAGCTATTTTTTTAACTAATGGGAACCTTGGTGTGCTTTTCTAAAAAAATGGATGCATGTTTTTGTTGTTTTAACTGGCTTGCAAAGTCTGAAAATTGCTTTCAGCTGAGTCAAACTATAGCCAAGAAAAACTCATTCTGGCCAAGTTGCATCTGCTTGTCCAGACACTGAGATTTCACGGTTGCAATCTGTGTGCCCTACATACACCGCACAGTCAAACTTGGCGAGGTGGCAGGAGACTGTAAAAGCAAAAGTGACACGACTCCACTAAACTTTGCTAAATTTGATACTGCTTGCCTGAGCCAGTGTACAAACCCTGGTCTCTGTGGTGTTTGACCATGCCAGAGGGTTTTACTGTTTTCCTGGCTGGGCATAAGTGCTTTGTGTAGACTCTTTAATGTTTCTTTTGCCACTAACTACTTTTACACTTTATTTTGTGAAATAAAATGGATAAAAAGATAGCATTGGTTATCTCCCAGACTTCACTGAGAGGTGTCACTCAAGGTAGACTGTGCAAAACTGATTCCTGTCCTCTGTGTTGCTCAGTAGAGCATATAATTAACTGCAGTAACATCTGACACCTCATGAGTGTCTTTGGGTAAGCTCATACCTCTCTGGCTATGAGAGGTATGTTCTAGGCTTGGGCAATTTTTGCTGTGTTATTCGTATTTTCTTTTGGCTTGCACTCTTAGAGGCCCCCTTCCTCATGATGAGCTAAGGGTTGGGTTTTGGTTTTGTTTTTTTTTTTAGCACCAGAGTTCATACTGTGAAGCAGAAGGTGGAAGCTGGAGTTAGTTATGACTACCCCATCCTGCCACATTTCATATGAAAGTCCTCTTGGACTGAGAGTTTGCATTAGTAAAGATTTCTGAGCGCTTACCACCGTTACATTTTCACTTAGTAGAAATAGCAATAGCAGCAAGGATGATGCATTAAAGCAGTGTAATTTGCATTAGCATGGTCAGCTGTCAGCCCTGGTCTTTGCAGCATGTTGTGGATATTAACTTGAGGTTCCTGGCATCTCTATGATGTACTGATGTTTGTGTGGGTCTGTTTTAGGAGAATGTGTTTATTGGTCAATCCAAAATCTACAGCTACCTGAATCCTAACAAAACTCCTGGTGCTCGCCCCCCGCTTCAAGAGGAAAACTCTGTCATGTATCACGAGGTGAAATGTCAGGGCAAAACACTAAACGAAACCTACAGGAAAGGAGATGGTAAGATTGATCTTTGGATTGCTTGCCTCATTAAATGTGCTTCCCCCTGCCCCTGATTTGAAAACTTTAATACACAGTCAAGAAGGTCAGGCAGCTCCCCTGGCCCAGCTGCTTTCTCAGTCCTCCAACTTTATTGGCAAACTGGGACACTACAGAGATGAGGGTGTCCTTATCCTTTTCAAAACTTAGGTCATAGGTTTACCAGGCAATTTTTCCTCAAATTTTTGTCTGGCTATGTTTGTATTGTCTCTCTGGATATAAAAAGCTAACGCTTGTGTTGTTAATATGCCCTAAGCTCCCTGCAATTCTATTATTACTCTGATTTTTCAGGTCAGTGTTTGACAGTTTATCTAATTGGGGGGGGGGGGGCTGTTTTATTACCTGAAACTGGTTTATTCTGTAATTTGACTACTTCATACAAATTTATATAAAGGCAATTCAAAGTCAAATCAGGTATGAGGTAGAGGTACGGTAGAAAAAGAAACAATTCTTAAATTTTCAGGATGAAATAAAGGCAGTGAGAAGGAGGAGCACAGACTGTGGACGCCAGGTGCCAGGCTTCGTAGATGCTTCATTGTAGTGACTAGAAATGGGAATGTTCCATAAGTTTGGGGAGGGGGGAAGGCTGTCTTGTGTTTAAAGGTGCATTTAATAACCTTGGTAATTTGTCAAAACATTTTGATGCAAACACTTTCAGCAAGCAGGTATTTTATGTCCCACTCAACACAGGGAGTGTCAGTTTTTCTGGAAACTTAGGGCCTTTAGCTCCTGATTTAGCTCCCCAGTTTTGACAAGAAAGCGAAGATGGCTTTAGGATGTCCCACTGCTGTGGCCTTGCAGCTGTGCTTCACTTCTCCAGTGGGATCGAAACATCTGTCTCAGCAGATAGGACTGTTAAACCTGGTGGTTTGCTTTGAATAAAAACTAGTGAGGTTTAAGCCATGCTCACCTACCTCTAAATCAGTTGGCTGAGAAGGAGGATGTGGTCATATCAAGGTAGGATGCATGCAACTAAGAAAAAGTTGGTTGTGTGTGGGGTAGACTTCTTATAAGTGCAAGCCCTTTAGCTCCTGTGGATTTTGTCTGAGTGGTGTTGGCCGCTTGGTACCAGCGTCTGCAGCTACTGATCACAGCAGTGCAGGATCCAGAGAGGCTTCCTCTCCCTCTCAGTGCAGGATGTTGATTAGCTTATGGCAACTTGATAATTTAGTATGCCAGATGCACTGAGTAGCAAACTGCACAGTCATCTCAAACACTGCGCAGAAGGTGCTGCATGTTCAGGTTTAGAAGACTCTTGAGTTGCAAACCTAACGTGATGAAGTACTTGGGCTCTGTTTTACCTGTTCCTTTTCTCTGCTCACCCCTCCCTCTGTACTGTGTGTACTGTAGCAATAACCAGTCAAAAATTGAGTAACAGCCTATCTGGGTTCTAGCAGAAAGAGATTGTGTGATTCCCTCCCTCTTTCTCCTGTTTGACAGAACTAGAAACATGGACTAGAAACCACTGGAATTCATTTAAAGCACTCTGGTATAGGTGATCCTAAGTTCAGAGCCTTACTTTATTTTCCTGTCACCAGAAAAAAAGAGTGGTGGCAATATAATTGAAGGTGCTATGAAACCAGAAGACCAGAAGGATAAAGAAGGTGGGTGCAATACTTCAGTGCCCTCCTCTGATCAAAACCAAGAAACTGTAGAAACTCAAAAGACGCCCCTGCCTTCAGACTGTGCTGATGAGGCCAATGCAAAGCCAGCTCAGAAAAAGATGGTTAAAGCAAAACGTGGACCAAGGAGAAAGTAAGTGACTTCTGGAATTGTAAAAGCTTTTCTTCTGTATGTCCTTTTGCACCAGGAGGCTTTGATCTGCATTTGTCCTTCAGGAGCTATAGTCAGACCTGTAATTAATGTTACTCCTGTTTTGTTGCCTTTTTTTAAGCAAATGTTTGTGTTGGGGGGGAGCAAATCTTTGTTTTCTCAAGAATAACATGTTTGAAAAACACAAAATAGCACCGGAAGTATTTTATCTACCTTGCAGAAGACTTTTGTTTTTCTTGAAAGCAAGGTTAGTGTATTTTATATCAAGTGAAATACTTGCTGATCACCTATAGAAAAAGAAGTTAATGAGCCGTTAAGACCTACTTTTCCGTGGACAAATGGGAATGTATCTTGTCAGAAACAGAATATTAGATTAATTACAGTTGGAGGCTTCCTGGCTAAGCTGATACTCTTTCTCATGATATGGGAGTAATGTGACCCAACATTAATGAATTCCTTGCAAAGCAGTTTTCATGACCTAAATTTTAGAGTGCCTTCTGGCAAGGCACACGGGGCTTCATACTTCTAATGTGACCTTCAGTTGGTTTCCAATGGCATCTCGTGCTTATTGTTAGAGAATTGATACTGAGTAATGGAAATAGCATGGGGAAGAAAAGGGGATGTGGCTTTTGGCTTGAAGTGAAGAGTACTGATAAGAAACGCTGATTCACATTGATCACCTTTCAACATACCAAGCTGAAAATAAAAATTTCTTACAGGTACCTCTGTCCTAGAGGCATAACTTCACAAGTAGTCTGAAATACGTGTGTTCTCTGTTTTTCTTATCCCTTAGAACGCAAGGAAGAACACCAAATCGAAAAGTGACAGATTATTACCCAGTTAGAAGAAGTTCCAGGAAGAGCAAATCTGAATTGGAGGTAGTGCATCTTGTTAAAATAACATTACTTATAATGTTGACATTTAACTGAATGTTTGAGGAAGTGTGTAACTATCTGTAAATGGTTTCCATTGGCCAAATACAAATAGCATTGTGCACTGGAAGTATTAAGGACATTCTTAAAATTCAGAAATGCTGATCCATTTATTCTAGGACAAAGTCTAGCCGCTTATATATTTTGGGGGGCAGAAATCTGTCTCTTTAACATTCAGTTTTGCTAGAAATATGGGGTGGTTTGGAAAAATGAGTGTCATGGGCTAATAATTTCCTTTTAGCTATAGAATAAGCTACAAAAACTATCAACAATACTGTGGTTTTGTTCTTGTTTATTCTGCAGACTGAGGAGAGGAGGAAAATAGATGAGCTAATTACAAGTGGGAAGGAAGAAGGAATGAAGGTAACTGCAATGCCAGCCTAAGTAGCCATGTGCTGTTTATATGGTATCTTGCTGTTAGTTCTGCTACTTTCTGCTTGAACAGATTCAGTCTCAGACTGCTGTAGTTCATTGATAGAACGATGAAAGTGCAGCAGAACTGGAGCACACTGTCTTTCCTTTTGGATGGACAATATTTAGCTCTGAAGAATATGTATATGCAGCCTCAGTCATAAATATTGAGGGACCTTTATAGTATTTACTGAAAATGCACTTGCTTCCTTTAGTATCTCATTTCTTGGTTTAGCTTCCAGAAGTGGGGTTAGATACAGCATCTTAATTGTCATATGCTTAAAAGGTACAACCCATATATACTGTCTGTATGGTAACAAATTGTCTTAGCCTATTTACAGCCAGTCACAGTGGGTCTTCATTATGGCACTTGGGATAATGGGTTGTACTGGTTTTCCTCCCACTGCTAACAAATACTAGTTATTGGGACCAAGTGCTTACCACTTGGGTTACTCTGATTGCCCTTTTTAGAATTCAAAGCAGAAATGGCTCCTGAAAGTGCAGAAGAGCTGTGATTCTTGAAAAGCAGCAGCCTGCAATTAACACTGTCGCATCTACAACAGTGATAGGAGAACTTTCTTGGAGTTGTCCAATTTACAGGGGGAGTATACTTGGGAGTGATAAATGTAATTTCTGTGATCAATCTTTCTGTTGCTTTTTAACCTGTGCATGCTAATGGTGATGGTGCATGTGAAATGGAAGAGCTTTCTGCCTCAGCTAATAGGTAGTTAAAAAGAAAAAATAGATAACTCTTCTCTGTGTATTGTTTAGTTGAAGTAATTCTTAGTTCTTTGATTAGAAGACTTTGTATCAAAATACCTGGTAACTCATAGGGTGCATCCCAAACTCATCCTATGTTTCTTCCACCATGCTGTGGGTTGTGCTTCTACAGCTTTGTTGGCAATACACACAAATACCTTGCTGTAGCATTTTTTTTAATGACAAATCTGACCTGTACTCATTTCCTAGTAAACAGCATATTTGCAATCATGTAAATACTTTCTAATTTCCCAGCTGATTTTCTTTTCAACTCAACAGATTGATTACATCGATGGCAAAGGGAGAGGAGTAATTGCTACTAAGCATTTTAATCGAGGAGAATTTGTAGTTGAATATCATGGGGATCTCATAGAGATCACTGATGCTAAAAAGCGAGAAGCTGTGTATGCTCAAGATCCATCCACAGGCTGCTATATGTACTATTTTCAGTACCTCAGCAAAACGTACTGGTAAGCTTCTCTTCCCTTAAGTGTGACAGTTGAGTGATAGAGGCTTTGAATGCTGCTAAGTCTTTTCTTGTTTTCATGCAAAATTTTTTTTAACGGGAACCATGAATTAGGAAATCTTTTTGTAGCACTGTTTCATGGTCCAAGATCTTTCTGCACCTGTGGGCTAAAAGGAATGGTAGGTGACTCAAAGCCATATTCTTTGAAGTACAGCACAAGCTGCATGGAGAGTTGTATCTGCCTGGATGAGATTTTGAGCTCTGCCATGGAATTCTGCCTAAATTTATTCTCTTGTAAAATTAACTACTTTTCCTGAGTTGCAAGGATTTAGTTTGAAAAGCAGTATGGACAAACTCTCTGGAAGATAAATATTTCCTTCAACTGTCTTTGACTGGGTGTCCTTCTTTCTGTAGTACCTGACACCCACCCCACGTGCATGGTTTATCACTGTAAAACAGTCTGAAGTTGGCTGTTTTCTGGGGTTTGTGCTAACTTAAAAATCTCCCAGAATTGCTTTAGTTTACCTACATTGCCATTATGTGTTGTCTGTTTAATCATATTAATATTCTGTAATGCTCTGGTTTTCCTTCATTTTTCAAGCCCTGTATGGATTCCTTGTTCTTTTATCTGATTTGCGCTTTGTTTTTTGTCCACAAATATGACTGCATGATATGTAGCAATCCTGCATTCTGTTCTTGTTCTTTCAGTGTTGATGCTACAAAAGAAACTAACCGTCTGGGAAGACTGATTAATCACAGCAAATGTGGCAATTGTCAAACAAAGCTTCATGACATTGATGGTGTGCCTCATCTCATATTGATAGCTTCCAGAGACATTAAAGCAGGTGAAGAACTGTTGTATGACTATGGAGACAGAAGCAAAGCTTCCATTGAAGCTCATCCATGGCTGAAACACTAATACTTCATCTTTGTTTGGGGTTTTGTGTTTTTTGGGTTTGGGTTTTTTTTGGACTGAGTGCTCTACAAGGAGTCAGTGGATTTTTTTTTTTCTTTCCTGTCCTCACTTCCCTCAGCTTTCTTAGTGGACTGCTTAGTGTTCTGAGCTCCTGAAAAACTTCCTTTTGCTTTGCAGTATTTAAATACCTATTACAGTTTTCTAGGCAGGCTTGAGTAATTGATCTTAGATTGCCAAAACTTTTATATCATAAAAGGAAACCCTCCCTAAAATTTGAATACTTCTGCATAGTGACCAGTGCCACTTGAGCATGCAGTCAAAGACTTGCACAGAAACTTAATCACTTGGGTGGTTGTTCTGCTTTTGCAATGAAATCTCATGCTCCACTTTGTGGGGTGATGACCTTGGCATTAGCTTTATGACAGCAGATGTACTTCTGTACTCTGACTAGTACATCCAATGGCTTGACTGCTTGTCAGACTGCTTTTTACAACCCAGTGCTGACAGGCTTCTCTGAGATGGATGCTACTATCGTTCTCAAATAATTTGGGGTAGGGATCCATTTTTTCCAGTGTCGTATCTCATGTTGGTAATGAACTTTAAATGCACTGGTGCTGAGGGAAATGGATGGTCAAATTGGCTGCTTTCTTCAGAGAAATGACTCCAAGCCAAATGAGGATGGATTTTGATAGACTGGGTTGATACTGATTACAAATGTGAAGATAGAACTTCACAGTGAGAATCAATGTTTGACATTTACTTATTTTCTAAAATTTAAGAAGGTACCTTTTTATAGTTGATGGCTGATCCTTGGAGGTGTCTCCCAGAGGATTTTAAAGAAGAAGAAAAAGCTCTCTCCAAAAATTTTTTTATTATCTTCCTATGCTAATTAGCCACATCAGAAGCTATTTATTTACTGTGAATGCTTGAAGTAGAGCATAGCGGTTCCAAAAATAGGAGTCGTCTTCATATGCAGCTTCAAACTGTAATGATGGAGTTCATGCAATGAAGAAAGTAGATTCCTTATTGCCTGGTCCTGTAGGTCTGTCCAGCATGGTCTGGTCCCACCGTCTTAAATGGGAGTTGAGCGCTTAGCGTCTTGCGGATGTTTGTAACGTTACTGTCGGAGAACCAAATCTGTGATATAGGCGGGCAATACAATGCAGGTCCTTTATGTTAAAGATGAATTCTTACCAGTTGGAATTTTTGCCAAGGCAGGCTTGGCATGTGTGTAGATGAAAATGGCTGTGAGCCATCAGCCGCGCTTGCTGCTGGAAGATGTCAGCAAGGGATCTGTGGCTCTGTTAATGTCTCTTATTCCTCATGTCTTGAAGGCTGCTGCTGTTCCAGCTAATGCCTTCTAGGACAATCTTACATGCTTGCCTATGTGATAGGTCAAATAGCAACAACATCCTGGTTGTATGCTCCAGCAGCAAGAGAGGTGGCTTAGTGATGTATTTTTTAAATTAAAAACTTGAAGACAATGTCTCTGTAAAATAAAGAATATATTTATTATTGATGAAGTGGCTGCTATAGTACCTGTCTCCATTGCAGATCATTAGCATTTTGAAAGAAAGCTGTGAAAATCATTAGCCATTAAATGCTTTATATTATTTACCACTTAACACAAGGCAAGCTCATCAGAGACAGCCTGTGTATTTTCACCATTTCTGAAGAATTAACTGGAGACCTGTTACCTTACATGTACTGAGTTACAGGTAAGCTTCTTTGGCTGACTTATTTGAGTTGACACTGATTGTTCTCTGGTCTCAGTAACGGAGACTATGGCAGTGTACAGTATCCTGTTTTACTAGAGCACTTCCCTTAAGTCAAAATTGGAATAAAATGCTTCTTTTTGTTTTTTATTTAAACATTTGCTTGTTCTCTATCAGGTCAAATAGCTTAAAACCTCTGTTCTTCAGCATCACTTTTGTAAATGAGAAAGGGGGAAGATCTCTTCCCTATTCTACATAAAAAGAAAATTGTCTTTTCTGAAATGCTTAACTGGTAATCAAGTAGCACTGCATCGGAAGATGGTAATAAAGCTGATGTTGCACTGAGTATGTATCCTTTACTTTTCTAGGAACTGATACATATCTGTGTGTGTGTATATATATATGTCAAAATACTTTTCACAGAAACATGCCCTGTGGATTTTTATCTCTGTGCCTTGTTAGAAGATGAAACCTTCTTGTAAGGTGTAAAGCACTTAGCAGGGAAAGATGCCCTTGGGTTGGGAGCTAAACTGCTGTTGTCAGGCTTGTGTGGCTTTGCCAGAGGCAGTGGGGTTGCTCTAACAGGACCGTAGCCTCTTCTGTGTAGCCATAGCCAAGGAATTTGCTCCCCTTTTGAGAGAGAAGCTGTGCAGCTCGCTTGGCACCAGAGTGGATGCAACTGTGATAGTTCTAGAAAACAACTAGCCCAAAAAGGTGGAGGTGATCTCCTGTCCACTTTAACTGGTGAACTCCCACTTTTTTTTTAAATCTTTTTTTTTAATAAAGTACGTATTAAATAGTAAACTGAAAATAATAATTGCAGCTTTCATTATCGGCTCCTTCAACTAACTGCAAAGAGTGGCCTAGGGCTTTGTTACAGTCTTCACTGCCTCCATGGCAGGTTGTTACTTTTGCACAGCTTTGTTTAATCTGTGCAGTTTGTGACCTGAAGTGGTTTCATTAAGACTTAGTAGAGTGATTAGTATGTTTTGGGGCATAATTCCCCTCCCCCAGCTTTTCAAGGAGATTGGAAAATACATCCCTGGATAAAGCACAGAAGACAATGGAGTTCAGAGCACATGTAAACATCTCTTCTCAGCTCAGAGATGTATCCCGGCTGTTGCTGATGCATGACTGGTTTTTGGTTTGGTTGGGTTTTTTTATTTTTATTTTTTTCTTTAAATGCAAAGTCTCTGCTAAGGAAATGCAGTAACTTCCTTCCCTGCTGCCATCCTCTAGAAAATACATTGTGGGGACATGGTCAAGGCTTATTAATATTTTGAAGATGGCAAAATTACTTTAGCTGTCCTGTGCCCCGGCTAAAACCAACTTGCTTAGGTCAGACATCTTTGATGTTGCCTTGCTAACATACACTTGCTAACAAATTCTCTCTGAAAAGAGACTGCAGTTCTGCCTTCTGCAAAGCCACATTCGCATTGTACATCTGAGCAGATGTGTGACGTGTCCTATATTTTTCACGCTGCTAGCGTATGAGAGGGAATCAAAAGATTTCAGAGCCTGCTTTCACTTCTAAGGAGAGCAAGATCATAGTTTCGTACCTGTCACTGCTCTTTTTAAGTCTCTTCAGACTTTTGCTGCTCTGGAAATTCTGCTTTTCTAAATGTGGAACCTAATTAGTGTCTTTCAAGCTTCTTTTTCTATTCCTCTGTTTGCCCTATATGCTTCCACTAGTGATAAATCTCATTACTTGAGCTAATACACAGCTTGTGACAGCTGACTGAAAGAACAGAGCTAATGAAAAATACAACTGTCTACCACAGGAGACCTTTAGCTGCCAGAAATGAAATGTTTGGTGCATCTGCTCTAGTTTGAGGATGTCTGCACCTCTGAAAAGACATCAGTCCTTCATGCGGGCAGAGCACGATGCAGCAGCTTTTCCTCCCTTGCTGTGTTTTTCTCCACCATCTTTCATCTCTACCCCAGCCACTCCCATGTGTACAGGCGTTCTGTTGTCACAGCGCAACTGCATCTTCTTTTGGTGGGGTGGGGTGGGGTGTGACAGGCTTATGCGTGCTGCTGCCTGTGTACTGCCCATCTAATGCAAAGAAAGCAAACAAAAATGCAGTGCTGGGGTTTTCTTCAAGCAGTTCTGTGTTAGTGTAAGATAATTACTTTCTGCATGAGAGCAGTGGGGACTGCAGTCTGAATGGGTTCTTCCTTCCCAGCGCTTTTGTATGCATGCACTTGTGAATGGCATGTAGCTCTTAAAAATATCTTCATCTAGCAAAATCATTTGGGCTGAGCATTTTGATAGGTGGATGGGATAAGTAAGTGGCAGTACAGATCATCACAGGCTCTTTTAATAAGAATAAAAACCACCTTTGTATAAACATTTATTCTGTACATGTGGATAATGTCTGGCAGGAATCCAGGAAATACAAAAAGTGTTTGTCTTGGTTTCTAAAAAAGCAAAGTAAAATCTATTCTGAAAGAATATTATACAACACAGTTTTGATGAGATTGCTTATTCTCTACAGTAGGAGAGATGCTTTTTCTTCCACTCATTGACTCCCCTAACACCTTAGAGGCTCTCATCACTGCCATTTCTGAACAGGAGTGGTTATGTTCTTGAGGGTGCTCATTTTCCATGTTTAAAAGAGAACCTACAAAAAAAAACCCAACAACAAAAAGGAAACAATAAGTACAGCTGGAAAAGAAGGAACATGCAGTGAGATGGCTGTGTCAATGTGTTCTGCTATTTTGGGGAACTCTGGGGATGCAGCCTGAGCTTGTGGGTACTGTGTACAGCTGCTTCATACAATATAAACAAACCTCCAGGGACAGCTGGCATGTTCCCACAGCGAAGTCTTAATGTGCTAGCAGGGGAAGCAAGTATCACATAGTTTTGCTCTGAAATGCTTATTTTTCCTAGAAAAAAAGTGACGCCCTGCTTGCCTGGGTGGAGGTTGCCTTCCTGTGGAGTGTTTTTTCCACAGGAAAGGATTTCTTTATCGGGTTTTAATTTTACAGGGAGAGGAGGAGAAAACAATATCCAGCCAATGAGGCCAAAATTCAGAATTCATCCCTGGATTCACTAAATATGAAGCATGCCATATTCTCCCAAAAAAGATGCAGACAAACTTACAGCCGTTTGATGATTGTCTTCTCTTCGCTGTCCTTGCTAGTGCCAGAGCTGCTGCCACTGGCTTCTTTTTCCAGTTCTTCAGTTTGGTCCCTTCTCTGTGAGATGATCCCACTGGGAAAAGAAGAGGCTTTGTTTGTTTTTCATGGTTTTGTGCATAGCGTGGCACTGCATATGTTAAACCCTTCACTGGGCAGCCTAGGATGTGGGTGAATGGGTGTCACAGGACAGGATGGCAGCCTGGCCTATTCCTTGTAATGAATTGCTCTTATTTTCCTTAAATACTGCAATGTCATTTTACTCAGACTATGCTTTAATGAAAACACTAAAAAAGTAACGAGCAGACTTCTCCTGAGAGGAAGAATGGCAAATCATAATAGGAGTGAAAGGGAAGTGGATTTGTACACTGGATTTGTACAAAAGTCCAAAGACAACAGTAGGGTGCAGACACAAATGGTGAATTTCTGCATGGGTGGATCTGTGGTACCTTCAGTGCAGCCACCAAGGCTCACACCACGCGGCTGGGAACAGATGGGAGTTTCCCAGCTTCCCTGCAAGGCAGGTGGCTGTTCCTCTTTCCATCCTATAGAGGAGAAAAGAAAGGCTTTGCCTGAGCTGTAGATTTTGTCATCCTGCTTTGATGCTGCTACACTTTACAAGGTTGTAACCGCTTACTTTAGGCAAAAGCTTCAGTTTTTCCAAAGGATGTTTCCCCTGCTTGAAATCAGGTTAGATTTTTACCAGCTTGCATACTACACTATGTTTTCACAGCATGCTAATTTACTGTCCTGGGCTGACCTCATTTATCTTGAGAGCTGAGTGGATCAAAGCTTGTGACTGCAGTAGCTGAAGGCTGAAAGTAGCTAAGCAACACTTGGCTGGACCTTGGAAATAAAAATACAGGAGAGTATCTAGAAACTGGTGTGACATCAGGCATGGGATAATTCTGAGGCAGATTCTCCTCTTAGAGAAGCAGGACTGTGAGCTGTTTGGTGATACTGCAGATCTCTAATATCTGCACAATAACTTCTACTCAGAAATCATGACTAAAAATGCAGTCCCCAAACATCATCAGTCATATTAAGCCATTCTCTGTGAGGACATCAGTTAACTTGTGCTATATAGAGCTTATTTCAATATACATGAGACGTTTTAGAACATACACTCATATTTATCCTCTTCCCCTGCACAGCTACTCTTTATGGCTGTACAATCATAATTAGGATTTTATGTGAACGTTTAAAGGGAAGATGGTTTTTGGCTTAAGCTGCAACGCTGTACAAGGCAATAACCACAGAGAATTACTTGAACTGAAAGGCAGCCTTGACACACCCTCTAGGTGCACAACACTGTGGCTCAAATCACTGAAAAACTGAAAACATTCACCCTGTTAATTTTTAACTTGGCCTGTAAGAAGTTGTGTAACACAGCTGGGAAGTCAAAGCAAGAAGCCATTCCAATGGCTGCACAGCAAAGGCAGGCAGCTGAGCTGGGGAAGCAGTGCCCCACTGTGCTGTGAGAAGTGCTCTTGAGCAGTTTGTAAACAGACTCCTTGGATTTAACTTTAACTTCTTGGCTTAACCTGCCTGTAATAGACAAGGCAAAGGGCAGGCTTACTGTATCTAAGAGGTTGCTGCTGAGATATCTCAACTGGAATCAATGTGCTCAGACATTTTGTGTCTAGAGTAAGTAGTTTCTTGCCCCAAAGAGTTTATAATGCAATCTGAAGACGAGGGGAAGAGGTTGGAGGAGAGCAGCCTTAGAGGTGAATGACTTTGTAGCACCAAGAGCAAGATCCTTCCTGCATCCCGCCCTTTGGCTCACACTGATTCTTCCAAGCTGGTCCCTTCTAGAAAGAACAAAATCCTTCTCTGAAAGCACTTGTTTTGCACAGCTCAAGTGCAAATCCCACAGCTTATCTTGAATGATGATGAAAGGGTTTAATATTCTGCTTTCTAGATCAATACCATACCCACTGTGCAAGCAGCTGGAGGAGGAAGGAAATTTTGACTAAAGCTGAGATGGAAACCCCCAAGCTCTTTGGTACGTAGCGTGGCTTTAGAAAAGAACAGCATGTGTGCAACTGCTGCAGCTGCATGGATGAATTCATGTGCATAAGAACCCAGCTTGTATGTGGAGTGGGAGTAACTATACGTAGGCTTACAGTGGTACAGTTATGAGAACAGGCTGCAAACTGCACAGATTAAGACGGAGTTTAGTTTTAAAATTATGTTGTGTAGAGACTTCATAATTCTCCTGTTTTTCTTTGCTCATTTGTAGGCTCTTGGGAGCACAGGTGTCTCTTGTACATCTGGACAGTACCTAGCCCAATCTAGGTGCTCCAACCTGCAATACTCTGACCTGGTAAGTTCCCCAGACAAGAAGTAATTGTTATTAGTTCTTTGCTGACTTCGTGATATACCTCTTATAGCACTGTAGCTCCTCTTGCACCACAAGAAGCTGAGCTTTCAGCTGGTTACGCTCTTGCAATACATCTCGCAGCTCCTGTAGTGTGAACCGGGGGCGATTTGGATCTGTGAGGTCTATTATCATTTTATCTGGTCCAAGGCTGAGCTGTAAAATAAACGGTGGTGGGCATGATCTTGTGACACATTAAAGACAGGGCACTCATAGAGTAAAAATTCTGAATTTTATAAATATGTAGGAATTCTTAGAACTAGTATGACTTCACCATGGTCCTGATTTTTTCCAAGCTGTTAATTATAGGTTTTCATATCATTTTTGTATTCCCTTGGCGTCCGCATTTCCCAGCCAAGTATGTGACAGGCTCTGACCACAGCTAAAAGCAAAGTCTCTGTCCCAAAGAGTTTGCAATCTAGTTTGCCAAGAAGCTGCTTTTATCTGCTTTTCTGATGATGAGAGAGGCTGAGCAATCTGTCTAACATCATACCAAAACTCTATGGCAGAGAGAGGTGAGAACTGAATTCTCCCAATTTAAGACCTTTGTGGTAATGCCTTTTTCGGTCACAGACACGGGTTTCCCTTGCACAGAGTAACAAAGCTTTAGCATTTGCATAAATGGCAAGTTGTCTTTATGGGACAGGTGCTGGGTAAGAGCTGTATGATGGTGGATTTGTACTCTGTGACCACCTGCCTGTGTGTGTCAGAACTCCTCTGTGAGTACTGCACCTTGCTGAGCTAAAAGCATGGTTGGTCACTACAGTGAAAGAGGAGCGAGGATCCACAGCACTGCGACTTGTAATAACCCTTAAGACCTCCGCTCTGGAAACGGCTTCAAGGCCTTCTACAAAGATGAGAAGCGAACTTTCTGAGACTCGTTCTGCTGCAATAGCAGAGACCGGCCATTGTGGCAAAACTATCCTCTGACCCAGCTGGCGTTAGGGTGGGTTTCGCAACCCGCACGTTGCCAAGCGGACAGGCCACGACCTATGCCGGGGAAGGTGCCTCTGCTGCAAGTGCCACCTCGCAGCTGACGACCCCACGGCCAAGCTGCCCCGGCCATGCCGTGCTGCACAGTGGGCGCCCACCACGGCCCTGGCGCCCACCACGGCCCTGGCACCCACCACGGCCCGGGCACCCACCTGCTGGGTGCCCCCTCGGGACCTCTCTCCCCGCAGCTCCTCCACCTCCCGCCGCAAGCTGTCCCGCTCCATCCGCAGCTGCTCCTCGGCGAGGCTGCTCTCGCTCACCAGCGCTTCCAACATCTCCAGCACCCTCACGATCCTGAACTGCAGCCGGGCCAGGGCGGCGGGCACCCGCGGCCCGGCGCTGAGCTGCAGCAGGTCCCGGCCCACCACGGAGGAGATGTCATAGACATCCCCGGCCGTCAGCTGGAAGGGGCTCTTCTCCAGAGCCCGCTCCGGGCCGCCATCGCCCTCCTCCTCCTCCTCCTCCTCTTCCCGGCCCCGCTGCATGGCCCGCCGCAGGCAGCCGCCAAATTTCCTCCCGTGCCCTG